TATGATGGCGTGATCTTGGCTCACCACAACCTCTGCCTCCTGGGTTCAAGCAATTCCCCTGCCTCAGCCTCCTGAGTAGTTGGGATTACAGGCATGCACCACCACAACTGGCTAATTTTGTATTTTTAGTAGAGACAGGGTTTCTCCATGTTTATCAGGCTGGTCTCACACTCCTAACCTCAGGTGATCCACCCGCCTTGGTCTCCCAAAGTGCTGGGATCATAGGCATGAGCCACCATGATTAGCCTTTATTGTTTAAGTCTACAAAATCTTTGAATCAGTTTATATATTACAATAATATATTTACAAATTTAGGTTTATCAGAAGAAGCATTTTATTACGCTTCATATTTGATTTAAAAATCTGTATTTTCTATTACTTGCATGGTTTTAACATTATAACTAACATTATAACATTATGACACAAAGGAAAAACTTACAGGAAGAAAAGTGCCTTTCAAATGAAAATTAAATTTAACATACCTGGAAATCTACTGCTCTTTTATTTGCTAGGTCAGCCTTGTTTCCTGATAAAGCTATTACAATATTAGGACTTGCTTGCCTCTGAAGTTCTTTAACCCAATTTTTTGCTCTTGCAAAGGACTCCTGTTAAACAAAGAAATAACTATTTGGCACAGGCTCAAAAAATTGTTAGGAAACACCTTTGTGATACAAGGCTTTAAAACACTGTCCAAAGGGACTGTGGAAAAGAAATTATTAGAACTACTATATTATGAGATATTTTCATTTTATTTATTTTTAAACCAGATTTTCTAATTCACAAAAGCTTCAGCAGAAAGGTTAGTTTCACTGTGGAATACATCCGTACTTACCTCATTTGTGATATCATATACAACTATGGCTGCTTGTGCTCCTCTGTAGTACATTGGTGCTAGGCTATGGTATCGTTCTTGACCAGCTGTATCCCATATTTCAAACTTTACTGTAGTGTCATCAAGACATACAGTTTGGGTTAGAAAAGCAGCTGAAAGAAAAGGACTGCAATAAGTCAATCGTTTCTCCAAATGTTTTCACAATATAGAAAACACCTGGTTATATACATGTATCAAAATGTCACACTGTACCCCACAAACACAACTATTATGTGTCAGTGGAAAGTAATGAGGGTTTAAAAAAAGCCAAAAACCAAAAAACAAACAAAAAACACACAAAAAAAAACACCTAGAAACTTGACAGATTGCAGTTGATAATTGCTTTAAATACGGACAAATGTATGCTTCTAAGCTATTTACATATATGCTTACATATAAAGCCTTTGTAGTGAAATCACAGATTGAAAAGTCTCTGCATCTTAATAAAGTTTGTTATAATACTAAATAAGCTTAAGATTACACTTCATTTTTCTTCTTTTTTTTTTTTTTTTTTTTTTTTTTTTTTTACACTAGCTTT